TGAGTCTTCGGAGCGAGGTGAGTCTCCTTTCTAATCTTGTGAGGGGGAATTTACCCCATAGGTGAGTTAAATTGGTTATGTGCTCCTATTTGTGGGGGCTACGTACACACGAGGTGACGAGAGTCCGTGGTTAGCTACTATTATGCTATTGTTCGGGTAGTCTAGGACCCAAAAAAAAGCATGTTATACTTGGATTAACTGTGAACCCATTGATAGTTTGAATTGTTTAAATCACCTTGAATTTGTAAAGGAATTTAAAAAAGAGATTTAATATTAAATTTCCCTTAAATGTTAAAAAGAGAAATTTGTCTATTTGGATGATTATCCTCGATAAACTCTTAGTTTCCTACTTGAGCAAGTACTTTATGTGTGCCTGCGTCGCATAGACGATTCGCGAGCAAGATATGTGTTTATTTATGGAACGGGCCGAACGCCTCGGTGAGAATAGATGCATCTATGGTTCGTGCCGCTCGACCCTCGGCAGTGCACAGTTTACATTCCTGTTGGAGCGGGCCGTCGCCTCGGTGTGATTTGCGCATGTTTATCTGTTGTTTGAAAATTGTAAATGTGCAATTGGCCCTACGTGGCTTGATATAAACTGATAAGATAATAAAGAATAAACCTTGGAGGCCCTTGATTTGTTGTTGAAGGTGTTTACCTGTTTTATGGCTTCACAATTAGAACTTCTATATAAATCCATGATTATCCTTGCACTTATAGAATATTGTTAATTGACTTCTAGTGAGTGTCGAAGTTGGCCATCTCGTCTCTACCCCTTCGGGATTAGGCGGGATACTCACTGAGTACACGTTGATTACGTACTCATACTACACTTCTGTGCATTTTTGTTGCACAGGTATATATACCTCTAGCAGCCTATTGGGCGTAGCAGCATGGATGACGCTGGGACTAGGTGAGCTGCATCATTCGAGGCGACCGCAGCTAGGGTAGTCCCTTCCAGTGTACTATATTTACTTTCCGTCCACTGTATTCCGGACGGATGTTGTATTTTATTTCTCTTATCAGTAGGTTCTCATGTACTTGTGACACCGGGTTTCTGGGATGGTTTTCAACGGATTTGTACTAATTGTTATTATTTAAATTTGCATTCAAGTAGTGAACTTTTATTTATGAAAATGGAAGGAAAAACCTTAGATTTTCAAAAGTATTAAAAGAGGAATTAATTGATAAGTTAGTTGGCTGGCCTGACAGAGGTGTCCGACGCCACCATGACCCTTAATGGATTTTGGGTCGTGACAACATGGTATCAGAGCACTAGGTTCCCGTCGGTCTCACGAGTCATGAGCAAGTCTAGTAGAGTCTCGCGGATCGGTACGGAGACGTCTGTACTTATCCTCGGGAGGCTGCAGGACTATTAGGAGTACTTCCCTTCTTGATTTCCTTATCGTGCGGTTCGATTCCTTTGAGGCTTATGCCTTTGATTCCTTTCCACTCAATCTTACGCGATGCGAGCTCTTGTTATAAATCGAAATTGAAGGATTGTAATGGCACTACAAATATGGTGCGGGATGATTTTTCCCGGTATAGTTGATTGGACTATTATAGTCGCATTATGGAGGGATATTATATTGTTTCAGCTCAGTAACAGAACTTCTAAGAGCCTTGAGGCTAGGCACAGGTTGCCATAATGCTTATGAGTTTTTATTCCGTGATATTATTGTGATGGTGGGACGTTTGCCCACGTGTCGGGCAGTGAATGAATTGAAGGGAGGTTTACTCAGTGTGTAATCAAGGGATTCAGTATTTTATTCCCGGCAGGGGAAAGTCAAACGAACAAAGGATGGTCAGAAGTGGACTGGTGGAAGTAATGAAACGTGGTAATTGCAAGCGTGGTGGAGTTCTCCTCTACATTGGGTGTTGTTGTCCTAATTGGACGTTCTAAGTTTGTCGGTGTTATAATCTGCTACAATCCGCCTTTATGGCAGGATATTGTGAAATAATATTGGAGTTACAACTGTCAGATATCGCATGATGCGGTGGTTTAAGATCGAATCAGAATTTCTAATGTCGCCGGCTCGATAAAGATGACCTTTGGAAAGGTTTAAAGTTAGTAGCAATGGCGGATTCAAGTGCCACGAAGATAGATTTTATTTAGGGCAACAATTGAGCAGCAAGGTATGAGGTAGGACATGTGGGAAGTGCCAGACGGTGTATAAAATTTCTAGAAGGCCAAGTATGAGGAGCAAGGTCGAGTAACCGATTAAGGAGATGAGTTCTGCCAAAGTGGGAGAGTGGCGAGGGTTGCATATGGGCTTGGTAGTAGGATGATTACGCGCCTTAAAGAGAGTTTGGATCGAATTGGGGATTTTAATGATTGGTGATTGAAGCCTGCGGGTATGATGTGAAGTATGGGCTATTATGCGGCAGAAGATTGATATGGCGGAAAGGAGCTGCTTGAAATGGAGGAGGGTGCAGCATAACCCTGAATTTGGAAGGATGCTGCCGCGCATTTAATTGATGTCCGCGAGGGGCGAATGGACTTGTGCAACTGGAAGGTGAGCTCGGACTCAGGATGGGCTATTGGTGTCATAGTGNAAGGCGTCAAGGAGTGTGAATTGATGCTCTCATCAGGGGGAGTCAATGCGCGTTGCACTCTTTTTCCCTTACAAGGTTTTGTCCCACTGGGTTTTCCTTGCAAGGTTTTTAACGAGGCAACCAATAGGCGCATTTCTAAACATGTGTACTCTTTTTCCTTTTCTAGAATTTTTTTTTCCCATTGGGTTTTCTTTTAGTTAAGGTTTTAACGAGGCACATTATCTGTTGAATAGACATTCAGGGAGAGTGTTATAAATAGAATTCTATTTATGGTGAATGTCCATATTTAGAGAGATTCTAGGGTTTATTACTTGGTGGCTAAGTCAACCTCTCCCTATAAATAGAGGGTTCTATTCCATTGTAATTCATCCCAAAATTCAATAAGAATTCCCTCTCTCTCTTTCTCTGCAATATTGTTCTTCTTCTTTTATTATTTTATAACACTGATATTGTTAATCAAATATTGGTAAAGTTATTTTTTCTTATAAGACAATAATATATGCCACCTTAGTTATGGGAAAATTATTACTTTTTTAAAATCCCTTCGAACAAGCACTGTATTAGATCTAAGCTGTCATAGAAGATAATATAGTCAATTTTGACCGACTAAAGAGATATCACTATTTAATTCAAAAGGATATCACAATTTCGAAAAAAATGAAAATTTCGGTTAATGACTCTCCTATCCCAGCTTCAGTCAACTAACACTACAACTACTTATAATCTTCATTTGTTCTCAATCAAATCATCATCATGGACAAATCAACGGTCTAGATCGAATTTAAATTAACGAGCATTCGGTTACAGTAAAACCGTTTGAACTATAGCAAAATATGAATTTGACACAAATAAAAAATTAAAAAGATAATATATCTTGTCTGGATAAAGATAAGGCTTTCATCTTCCTCAGAATATTCCTTTTTCTAATCTCTTTCTCTCTCTCCAGACGATTGTTTCTTCATTTCTCTCTCTTCTTTCTCTGTTGTTATATATACAAGTTTTGTTGTATACAAACTTCGTTGTGAAGCTATGTCGATTGCGTTAGAGAGGAATAATACAGCAGATCGTCAGATCGAACGGCCCGGATTCGTGCACGGAATGGCGTTTATTCCAATCTATAAGTCGGTAGATCTTAGGGTTCAGGCAAAGCAGGAAAATGAGGATGATCGGACCTCTTCCTCGTCTTCTTCTTCTTCGATTGGTAGGAATAGTGATGACTCGCCGGCGGCGGGAGATGCTTCGTCGGACGGCGACGGCGACGGCGACGGCGACGGCGACGGCGAGGAGGTTCAGAGTCCTTTCAAACCTGCTGGTGCTTTGGATAATTTGGAGGCTTTAGAGGAGGTTTTGCCAATAAAGTATGTGGCTTTACTATTAATTTAATTTCTATGTGGATTTTAGGTCAATTTATATAATTTATTCACATATCTTGTCATTAAGATGCTGACTTTGTTGTTTAGTTTGGAGTTTTAAGGCTCGAGTCTAGGAGTTTGCTTGGTGAATGTGATATGTGTACATGTTAACTAGACATTTGTAACAATTAACTGTGTCTTAGGGGGCATCTTGGTAATATTTTTGAGTACCCGAGGGAAATGGACCAAAAATGTTTGGCTTGGCTTGTTGCAAATTGACTCATTTTCGAGGTTATGGATTTAGTAAGTAGTTTTTTTATATGTTTAACTTGAGCAGTAAAAGTAAAATCTGAGAGGTTAGTTCATTGATTAAGTGTTTGTTCCCCCAATATTTTATGTAGCATGGTATAGACCTTGTACCTGAAAAGTAATTTGGGAGATGGAAGTAGCTTAGTGGAGTGAGGCCTGACCGATGCTTGCAATCTTGTTTGAGAGGTTGTTGTGAATGTGATGGGTGTGTCTCATCTTTTGTCCGTAATCTTTTGCATTATGTACTACCTTTGATTGTCAGAGCTAATACTTGGTCGCATATATTCCTTGGCGTGTGAAAGATTCAAAATAGATAGAGACTATGAGGTGTCAAAAATCATTTCTTTTATTTCATAGATATTTAAGGCTTATGAGTGCAATGTTAACAAAATTCTTTGGCAGTCTTATTTTGATCTGGATAATGGTGGGATCGTGGGTGCATGCATGCTCTTAGTATGGATAAAATGCATTGCTATTATAGAGGATGTTGGAACCAGTATCCTCCTTACCAAAAGTAAAGCTGCCTGAGATGCTTCTTGAAGCTTGTAACATCACTTCAGCATATTCAGTACTGAGTATGTTAGTTTATTAAAAAAAATTGTGTGTTGATTTTTATCTATATAGCTGAAGTTGAAAAAGTATCTCCTGTGGACTGAATGTGAAAGCTTGGGTAGTGGCAGAGCCTTTTTTTTGGGGGTTAATATTTTATTGTAAATGAAGTCTGAAGAAACTTAATGGGAACACGGTCAATGGTTGTTATTATAAGTCTCTAGAACATTGGATAGTCTGGAGGATGGAAGGAAGGATGCCGTAGTCAAATCGGAAAGATATTAGATGCTTATAGATGTTTATGAGCAACTGTTGTCGTATTCTTCCTAATTTTCCAAGTTCTAACAGTGCTTGTCTGCCATGTTCCAGGAGGGGCATATCAAATTTTTACGCTGGAAAATCAAAATCATTTACTAGCCTAGCAGATGCAGCATCATGTTCCTCGCTTAAAGATATGGTTAAGCCAGAGAATGCATTCACTAGGAAACGCAAGAACTTGCTTGCTCACAACAATTTCTTTGACAAGAATCGGAATCACTTCCCAAGAAATTATAGTGGTGGGTTATACAAGAGACCGATAAACTCTAGAAGCTCATTAGCTCTTGGTGCAACCTCAAGCTGCTCTGAGAGCAATAACAGCTCTGAGTCATTGAACTCAAATCCATCATCACCTCATTTTTCTCTTCCTCCTTTGCCTCCGCAATCAAGAAGATATAGCAATGAGTCATCATCATCACCTCCTGAACAGAAGTTTAGTGCATGGAGGTCTTTCTCCTTATCGGATCTGCAAGGGGCTGCTGCTTCAACTCCCAGTCTCACGGGCATAAAGTAATAGAGAAGATATCTTGACAATAACTTATTTTTGTTGTCACCCTATGAGCCTAACTTCATATAGGTTTCAATGGAGGTTGGCTTATTTTAGCAGTTATAGGCTTCAGTCTCGCACCCTGCCTCTGTAATTATTGATCAAGGCATACCAAATCTTGGCATCTTAAGAATGTAATTGCTCCTGCTCACTTTTAACCTCTTTATCCTGTTGTATATTTCAATGTGTTGTTTGCCTAATTTAGGGATTTTATATGTTCGGTTTGTTGTCTGCTTAATTGTAGATTTTCTTTTAGGTGTATTCCTCAGTTTACACTTTAATCTTTTGGGATATGCATTTTCTGAAGTGGGACCTCCTTTCCCCTTCTTCCTCTCTTATTCAGCTCTAGAGTGGGTCATGAGTGGTGGCTAAACCATGTTGCTCCCTCATTTGCAGGGAGGGGACCTGGTTGCCGTGGGAATAAAAGAATACTTGGTTTTGCTTGCTGACACCATCATATCCTTACTCTAGGTGTAAGCTTGAGCATGTTTTCTAGAATTTATTTTGACACTACCCAATCATTGTAGTTTGATAGTCTAACCAACAAGTTTGCGGCAGCATGTTGTGGTTGATGAGTAGACCAATGGAGTTCCAGCTTGAGACGTTCAAAGGTATGAACCTAAACCGGCGCCTATGGAGAGGGTAGCATGCCAACTGATGTTATTCATGAAAAACTTGGTTTCAGTTTCTTGGTTTAGTAACTTCCTTTTAACTTTAGCTAGTGCAAACGAAAGTTGAAGAAAGAGGGAGGGACATATAAGATTAAATTTCTAAATGAACAAAACCAAATTCCAATTCGGATAGCCTTTTATGGGTTGGTATACCAATTGTGCTAGGATAAGCATGGCTAAGAATAATCATGGTGCATAGCATAAGAACAAAATATGCTTTGTGTGCCATCACTGTCATGATGCCACAAGTATAATATGGTCTGAAGGCATCTCAAAATCTTGTAGCGTAGGTTTACATTTTCAAAACACCTAACAGTAATTTTTGCGCCTTTAACAATCAACGTGCATAAAATGCACAGTTAAGAAGTCAAATTTGTCCGACATGATGCAACGTTGTTGTTTTATGTAGTAAAGCCTTTTGTTGAACATTGATCATTAGGTAATATTGCTTGAAATTCCATTTCTGTTCTTAGAGGAAGCCATTCAATGGAATATTACGCAACAGTGAATATTTTTCATTTCCTAATGCCAACAGTTAAATCTCTTGTAGCCCAGCCTCCCCCTTCCCCCCCACACACACACACAAATAAATAAATAAATAAATGACGGAAGTAAGATAAGAAAGAACCTACATGCTATAATCACTTGTGATAGTCATAACTTCAACATTCTAATAAGTCCAGGTCTGGAAAGAATCATTTTATCATGATGAACTATCAAGCTCTCACTTTATGCAATCCTCAATTGTGCTATTAAGAAACTGAAAAAGAAAAGAAGGAAAAGCAGAAAACTTGGCCACTTACCATTGATATACTTATGTTAGACTCCAGGAAAATAGGAAATGAAATATGCAGGGTAACATTTTAATGAACTCAAAACGATCTACGAATAAAAACAAGAAAGTTGACCCAGAAGAAAAGTAGTTACTAATTCAATTCTTGCCTGCCCTTGGAGTGTCCGAGTTGCCCAAATTGTGTCATGAGCATGTGTGTCGGATGTGTTTTATATTTTCTAATTTGAAGGAACCTGTCAAAATGTTTTGGCCATGTCTTGGGTGTCAAAACATGTCAAACATTCGTTTGGCTAATGGAGAATACGGAAGAAAATGGTGAGTTTGCAAATCTATGTTGCTTTCGCACAGGACACGGGACTTCTAAAATTTGGACACTTTGAATTAGTAATGTTTCAGAATAAAAATAGTATTAATCAAGACAACCGGTAGAAAGGAATTACTGATGAACTTTAACAAGCATTAAGTATTGAAATGCGCTACAATAGCAAAAAGATGACTTGAGGACTGATGATGAACAACGGAAAAGTTCGGTTGTATTTCTCTGAGTCTTCAATCTATTTTCAACGGACTTGGTAATTATCAGAACTAGCATATCTAAATCTAAAATCGAATGGTTGTACTTTTGTTTTAGAAGTTGGCGGATCAATATGAATTACAAACAATTGATAGTGATTCTTGATGTTAAAAATTTAGAAACTAGTTCAATGGGGAACATACCAAAAATTTGGCGAACAGAAAATACATTAACTTAGACCCCCTTACATTAATTGATAGTGATTCTTGATGTTAAAAGTTTAGAAACTAGTTCAATGGGGAACATACCAAAAATTTGGCGAACAGAAAATACATTAACTTAGACCCCCTTATTGCATGTCAGTGAGTGTCTAACAAGACACTTGTGTGAGGAAAAAGTTCCCCAGAATTTCTTTGGAAAAATTGGAACATCTAAGACATGTTTTTAAGTTTTGGTGCACGTTCCATCACTGACATGCATCTACCCTCTACCTAAATTGTAGGTTTGTAGTACCTTAGGATTTGGATCATGAAATATCTTACTAGAGTTATATAGCAAGGTTTTTGTTAATCAAGGCAGTGAACTTGAGAGTGGAGGTGCTAATTTCTATCTGATGAACTGAGCAATAAACAGAACTAAAGCAGAGAACTTCTGTGTTAGAAGAATACAAATGATTTCTGAGGCATAATAATAAATGATCGTTGAACTACTGCCTTCCCCATTTGTCACAAGAACATTAAATGCCCAACTTTGACATCCTTGAAATCCAGCTAAACTTTGTGCATCACAACCCCTAACCAAACGATGTACCTTGTGCTAATCACTTAGAAACTTAACAACCAATGGCTTTAACGGGTTGTGCCATTAATATGCTCACTATAAATAAAACATTTCCTAGAAGCAAATATCTTGTTATTTATTAAAGGTTCTGGTTTCTATAAAGACGCAACAATGTCGTGTTTTTGTTCGATGCAGTTTTCCGACAGGTAGGAGAGTCATCATAAAGCGTAATTTTGGAAGCTTGTGATAAAAGAGGATTAGTTATTTTATCAAAAATTTAGTGATAGTCGCTTTTCTTTTATGGTTATGAACACGCGACCACAAGAGCACTACCCTGTTTATGCCAGATTCTAACTTGTATTATCAGACCAATTCTGTGAAACATCTGATTCTTTGGATTACATGTTGTAGAATGTGGAGTATAATCATGGTTGAAGCTATTTAGTGATAGATCCAGTTGCCGCAAATCTGTGTATTCATTAGACAGATTTCTCTCGATGTAACTAGCTGAAGATTCTCTTCGTAAGTAGAAGAGAAAGCGTTACATATTTTCACATTTTGTGATTGAATAAGCAAGCCTTGTTGGTCTTGAAGTTTGATTTTCTCACCATTTTTGTGTAAGACATGTGTGAAGTTGTTAATAGAACCTGATTTTAATTGACAGAGAGAGAAAATATATGAATACATCCTTGGCAATTACTTGAATGGCACTCAGTAGCATTAAATGCAACCTACTAAACAAGATTACTTTCTGAAAATGCTCCCAAACTTGTATTTACTGCCCTTTGTTTTGGTAGAACATTGATAAGAACAATTTCATTGGAGCATTGCCCGGTTAACCTGCAATTTTCACCTATAAATGGGTTTGTTCGTCAAGTTACCTGGCAAGTTGAGTTCTTGAGAAGAGTGTCCATCCCCTGACGTTACCTTTTGGTTTGTTTTTCCTCACTTTATGCACTTTTATCCTTTTCTTAGGCCTAACTATCACTTGATTTTGGCTTCGATTAAATCTCCTGCATAGCTGAAAATGTGGGGAATTATGCATTCCTCGATAAGTTCTTGGAATCTCCTTTCTGATTGAGTTGTAGGTGCCAAGACTAGGCCTTTTCAATCCAGATGAAGGATTTTGCCTTTAGTTTTATTTTCTTTTCTTTCTCCCCTGCTTCTGTACATGGTAAGGTAATAGGATATTTGCTGGTTACATACAAGAGGAATGCTGAATCTTTACTAGGATCACGATAGTCTTCTTCATGGTGAAATCTCGTCGGCTGATTTCACATTGTCACATCTCCCCCTCCTTCCCTTGTCAATTGTATGCGTATCTGTCCTGATAAAATTAGGCCTGCTTTTTTCATCTTGGTAATTTCTAATTTGGAAATTTGTGGTGGTTTTATGTGCGCAGGTTTAATCACTACCAACGTGAGTTGGCATGGCTGCAAAACCTTTTCAAATCACAGTTGAGGAATTCAGACTTTTCCATACGATTGACCGAGCACTTTATTCTCTCCTTGTTGTTGAGCTTCGGCGTGATCCTCTGGAGTCAATGCAGACATTGGCATTGTGGATTTGGTTGGAGCGAACACGTTTCAACGATATTATCAGGAAGATCTTGTCCTTACCTCAATTTTTGATTAATGAACTTGCTGATGAGGCTATAACCTGCCTCAAATGCATTGAGGACAACCGGTTCCTGCTCTCAACTGAGACAGGTGAGATTCCGCTAACTCAAAGTCTCATGGCAAAAGAGTTCTCCCTCCTGTTTTTCCATGAAAATCGGGACAGTGCCACCAGTGGGATTAGGAAGATTGTTACTGAGGTTTGTCTCAAGGCATTGACAGATATCATGGAGAAAGCCTTGAAGAGAAGTTCTGAACAAACTTTGACGGAAAGCAAATTGGCGATGGTGGCACCTCTTGCTGAGTCATTCTTGATAGAAAGAATTGCTCAATTGGGACTTGGGTGTGACGCGTCTCCTAAGAGGATGAAAGGACACGGCGTACCATGTGAAGAACGGACCATGTTTGTTACTTTTTCCAAGGGATACCCTGTTGCTGAAGTTGAAATCAGGGAATTCTTCACTAGGATTTTTGGAGACTGCATAGAGTGCATTCACATGCAGGAGGTGAAGTCCCATGAACAAGCTCTTTATGCTCGAATCGTGTTTGTTACGCCTGCAATTATAGATTTTATTCTCAATGATCTGCCTAAAGCTAAGTTTACTATCAACGGTAAGCATGTGTGGATGCGAAAATTTGTCCCGAAAAATGGAAACTCTTCCCTCGCATACATGCTGCCTCAGAATCCGCCTGAAACTATTTAGTCCTTTTTTCTGTATGTTTATCTTTCTGAGAATGGAGTTAGAAGAAATCCTGTTTTCAGTTTGTAGTCCCTGCAGTCCAACTTAAGGACCCTAAAATTATGATGCAGTGAAATGGTTTTCTTATAGAAATGAAAAATGAAGCCTCGTTTTAATCTGTGTATTTATATTTTTCTGCTTTGCATTTTGGATACTTATTTTCTTGTTATGAAGAGATTGACCACAATCCCTTTTTGGTATTGGCTCAAAAGTCAGATGACACTTGAGCTTCTTGAGTGTGTTTATTGAACATGTTAACTTCACTATTGACTTCCCTTTAAGTGAATATGACTACTGTGGAAACTTGAAATTTTCCAGTTATATTTGTTTCTGTATGAGTTCGTGTTACTGGATTTCATCCGTAAATAGTACATGGATCAATTAGCATTTCTTTGAATACCTATGTCAACTTGTTAAATTTGTTTCTTAATGAATTCAAAGACCATACATGCTGGTTTTTTAATCTAGTTCACAAAAAGAAAAGAAGACCATATTTGGAAAATTTAGTCTAAGACATGTTTTGAAGCTTTGGTGCACGTTCCATCACTGACATGCATCTACCCTCTACCTCAATTGTAGGTTTGTAGTACCTTAGGATTTGGATCATGAAATATCTTACTAGAGTTATATAGCAAGGTTTTTGTTAATCAAGGCAGTGAACTTGAGAGTGGAGGTGCTAGTTTCAATCTGATGAACTGAGCAATAAACAGAAGTAAAGCAGAGAACTGTGATAGAAGAAAACAAATGATTTCTGAGGCATAATAATAAACAGTCGTTGAACTACCGCCTTTCCCATTTGTCACAAGAGCATTAAATGCCCAACTTTGACATCCCTGAAATCCAGCTAAACTTTGTGCATCACAACCACTGACCAAATGATGTACCTTGTGCTAATCACTTAGAAACTTAGCGGCTTTAACGGGTTGTGCACATTAATAGGTTCGCTATAAATAAAGCATTTCCTAGCAGCAAATATCTTGTTATTTATTAAAGGTTCTGGTTTCTATAAAGACGCAACAATGTCGTGTTTTTGTTCAATGCAGTTTTCCGACATGTAGGAGAGTCATCATAAAGCGTAATTTTGGAAGCTTGTGATAAAAGAGGATTAGTCATTTTACCAAAAATTTAGTGATACTTGCTTTTCAATTATGGTTATGAACACTCGACCACAAGAGCACTACCCAATTTATGCCAGAGTCTAACTTGTATTATCAGACCAATTCTGTGAAACATCTGATTCTTTGGGTACATGTTGTAGAATGTGGAGTACAATTATGGTTGAAGCTATTTAGCAATAGATCAAGTTGCCGCAAATCTGTGTATTCGTTCGACAGATTTCTCCCGATGTAAAAGATTCTCTTCGTCAGTTGAAGAGAAAGCGTTACATCTTTTCACATTTTGTGATTGAATAAGCAGGCCTAGCTGGTCTTGATTTTAGATTTTTTCACCTTTCTTGTGTAGGACATGTGTGAAGTTGTTAATAGAACCTGATTTTAATTGACTGAAAAAGAAAATTTATGAATGCAGCCTTGGCCATTACTGGAATGGCACTCACTAGCATTAAATGCAACCTACTAAATAAGATTACTTTCTGAAAATGTTTCCAAAGTTGTAATTACTGCCCTTTGTTTTGGCAGAACATTATAAGAACAAGTTCATTAGATCATTGCCCTTGTTAACCTGCAAAACCAGTGTTTTCACCTATAAATGTGTTGGGTTGTAAACTTACCCGGCAAGTTGAGTTCTTGAGAAGACTGTTCGCCCTTGACGTTACCTTTCGGTTTGTTTTTCCTGACTTTATGCATTTTTATCCTTTTCTGTGGCCTATCCTTCACTTGATTTTGGCTTCGATTAAGTCTCCTGTATTGCTGAAAATGTGGGGCTTATGCATTCCTCGATTAGGTTCTAGGAATCTCCTTTCCTATTGAGTTGTAGGTACCAAGACTAGGCTAGGCTTTGTCAATTAGATGAAGGATTTTGCCTTTAGTTTTGTTTTCTTGTCTTTCTCCCCTGCTTCTGTACATGGTAAGGTCATAGGATTTTTGCTGGTTGCTTTACAAGAGAAATGCTGAATCTTTACTAGGATCACAATAGTCTTCTTATGGTGGAATAATTGCCACTTCTCTCCCTCCTACCTTTGTCAATTGTGTGTTTGTCCCTGCTTTTTTCACCTTGGTTATTTCTAATTTGGAAATTTGTGGTGGTTTTACGTGCGCAGGTTTAATCACTACCAACGTGAGTTGGCATGGCTGCAAAACCTTTTCAAATCACAGTTGAGGAATTCAGACTTTTCCATACGATTGACCGAGCACTTTATTCTCTCCTTGTTATTGAGCTTCAGCGTGATCCTTTGGAGTCAATGCAGACATTGGCATTGTGGATTTGGTTGGAGCGAACACGTTTCAACGATATTATCAGAAAAATCTTGTCCTTACCTCAATTTTTGATTAATGAACTTGCTGACGAGGCTGTAACCTGCCTCAAATGCATTGAAGACATCCAATCCCTTCTCTCAACTGACGCAAGTGAGATTCCGCTAACTCAAAGCCTCATGGCAAAAGAGTTCTCCCTCCTATTTTTCCATGAAAATCGGGACAGTGCCACCAGCGGGATTAAGAAGATTGTTACTGAGGTTTGTCTCAAGGCATTGACAGATATCATGGAGAAAGCCTTGAAGAGAAGTTCTGAACAAACTTTGACGGAAAGCAAAGTGTCGATGGTGGCACCTCTTGCTGAGTCATTCTTGATAGAAAGAATTGCTCAATTGGGACTTGGAAGCGACGCGTCTCCTAAGAGTACGACGGGACACGACGTACCACGTGAAGAACGTACCATGTTTGTTACTTTTTCCAAGGGATACCCTGTTGCTGAATATGAAATCAGGGAATTCTTCACTAGGATTTTTGGAGACTGCATAGAGTGCATTCACATGCAGGAGGTGAAGTCCAATGAACAAGCTCTTTATGCTCGAATCGTGTTTGTTACACCTGCAATCATAGATTTTATTCTCAATGATGTGCCTAAAGCTAAGTTTACTATCAACGGTAAGCATGTGTGGATGCGAAAATTTGTCCCGAAAAATGGAAACTCTTCCCTCGCATACATGCTGCCTCAGAATCCGCCTGAAACTATTTAGTCCTTTTTTCTGTATGTTTATCTTTCTGAGAATGGAGTTAGAAGAAATCCTGTTTTCAGTTTGTAGTCCCTGCAGTTATATTTCAATTTGTAGGACCCTAAAATTATGATGCAGTGAAATGGTTTTCTTATAGCAATGAAAAATCAAGCCTCTTTTTAATCTGTGTATTTATATATTTCTGCTTTGCATTTTGGATACTTATTTTCTTGTTATGAAGAGATTGACCATAATCCCTTTTTGGTATTGGCTCAAAATTCAGATGACACTTGAGCTTCTTGAGTGAATATGACTACTGTGGAAACTTGAAATTTTCCAGTTATATTTGTTTCTTTATGAGTTTGTGTTACTGGATTTCATTCCTAAATAGTTACATGGATCAATTAGTATTTCCTTGAATACCTATGTAAACTTATTAAATTTGTTTCTTAATGAATTCAAAGACCATAATTACTAGTACTCCCTCTGTCTTATGTTATCAGTCATGATTCTTTTCCACACGCCCCTTAAGAAAAACTAATTAGGATAGGATTTTTACTACTTTACCCTTATTCATGTCTTAATATTTAATCTTTCTTCATTGACATTTGAACAAAGTTAGGTATTTGTAGTCTTCAAGGATAATTATTACTAAGGGTAAAAAAGAAAAAAATAATTAATTTTGTCTTGAACTTTTAAAGTGACAAATAATCTGAGATAACTATTTTTGGCAATTACGACTGTTAATATGAGACGGAGGGAGTAGCAGTTTTTAAATATAGTTCACAAAAAGAAGATTTTTAGCAAGTAATGTGTGATGGCTTTTCTTGTTTTTATCAACATTCATATGATATTGTGTTGTTATATTGTATTGCCCAATAGAACTTTGAAATCAAAGAATATTGAAATAATGCCTTCTTCCTTTTCTAAAAGCTATTAATTTTATTATAGGAACTTCGAATTATATCAGGAAAGGATTATATATATAACGGAAAGGGGTCTGTATATTTATCCAATTCATCTCATTTTTTTTTTATAGTAATAGTACAAGTACACTATTTCAGTAAAGTTAACTTATATTGAAGTATAAAAAAAAGGTTTTATTAATTACCTAGTCGCCATAAAATTCAAATAGATTATATACAATAAAAAGATTGAGAAATGATCAAATGTAGAAACCAAGGATGGATTCAAAAACTGGTGAAATCTTCTTGTTTGACCATAGAACAAGCCTTTTCATATGTAGCTGTATAAAATAGATTACAAGAATCAGATATATTATTAGAGTAACTGAAAATAACAACCAAATTACAACAATTTGAAATACTTCAAATAGTTTTGGACGTATATAAGGCAATTGTGTAAATTTTTCTTTTGGTTTGGACGTGTGCGAAATAAAGTTGACTGACGTTGCCCGAAGTTAATAGTAAGAGACCAAAAATAGAGTCCTGGTTTTATAAATTGCAAATAACATTTAATGTACTTTTCCAATAACTTTACTCGTAGTTATCGAATCCAAAAAGTGAGTTTATATCAAGTCAATATATATATATATATATATATATATATATATATATATATATATATATATATATATATATATTTCGTGAAATTTGTAAAACATACATTTTTTCTCAATTCATCACTTAATCATGATATTTTCACTATCGAACCACCTTAATTTCGAATCGTAATGAAGACCTCCTTAATTAGTAAATTGTTCTAAACTACGCGTTGAATTCCCGCTCCCGGTCTCAAATTGCATAAGTACCCTTTGAAGAGTATATTTTAAATATGGGTAGCTTACATTTTTTGTCAGTCGGCCAAAAATAATTATATCCGCTAGCTAAATATATAAAATATATATACTGAATTTGTATAATATATGTATATTATAAATTAATATATAAAAATATACGTTTTACTGAATATTAGTTTTGGGAGCATCTATATAATGTAGTATTTTCTTTTAATGAATATAATTGATTCTGTCATACAATTGAAGGACAAATTAATAAGAGTGCATAAGCACACAGGAGGTCAACATGCATGCTTCGCACCTCAAGGGCATTTTGGTAAATTCATTTAAAATGGAGCAATGTGTTTAGCCCAAAAGGTATCTTACGCCATATAAATCTTTGAGGGACTTGACCAAATTGCCCCTTGCTGATCTCATCATACATCACCATAATTTTCAAAAGCTGTTACGGAGATGTGGGTCCCATCTGAGTCTTTGTTTTACACGTTGCTATCATTTTGCAAGCATATAGCCATTTGTATTGTACAATTCATTGAAGAAGTAGGGCCCACTGAAGTTCTTATTCATAAGTGAGTATTAGTTTGCAGCTTAACAGTCATTTGAGCCACATGGCTAAGATGCTTTAATTACTAATGGGTGTAGTTACGGTTGTGCATGAATCAGATCGGATCGGATTTAGCATATTTCGGATCGGATTTCGGATTTCGGATTCTAGAAAATGCAATCCGAATCCGATCCGAATTAATAACGGACATGATCGAATTTTAAAGTTTAGATCGGATCGGATTTTCGGATTTCGGATCGGATTATTATGCCTCAAAGTTGCAAACCCATATGTATATTTTCTTTGTAAAAGAGGCAATACAGTAAGAAAAATTCATGTTTCTACAATTATGAGAGTACTATGGTGCCAATATAGCTAAATCCATCAATTGTAAAGGTAATAACTTGGAGGAAAATATAAAGGAAGTACTAATTATCCGAAACTAAAGTTTAGTATTTACACATGCCCTAATGATTTCGGATTTTCAAACCGGATCGGATTGGATCGGATCGTATTAAAATTATACCAATCCGAATCCGATCCAAAATCCGAATTTTAATAAACACAATCCAAAATCTGATCCAATCAAAATCCGAAATCCGAAATTGAACGAATCGGTTCGAATTTCGGATATCCGATCCAAATGAGCAACCCTAGGTGTAGTCTTACGCTATTATCTATACGTAGAAATTATTTAATTTGAGGTACTGTATAATTTAGTTTAATTGTATTAGATGTGAATTAAAAGGTGAAAACTATATAAAAATGCTTAGAATTCTAATAATCTTTTATACGTAGATTTACCTTTACACTCTGTTTGGATCATTGTTCCTTGTCGTTTTATAATGTATTGTATTGTATCGTTTTATGAATACAATGTTTGGATAGATTGTATTGTTTGTTATTGTTAAATACTAATATTTTGCTGTTTGGTTTGACTGTATCGTACTGTACTGTAACTAATAAGTTTACTAAAATACCCTCAATTATTTAAATATTGAATTTATCAGAAAATATGCATAAAAATAATTTTAAAAAATAAAATAGAAGAAGGCAAAATATCTTAAGAAAGCAGAATAAAGGAGCGAGACAGAAGAAGGCAAAACAAAGGAACACAACTAATTAGAATTGAGTTAAAAGCAAATTATGAGAAAAAATCAAACAGAAGGCGGCAAAATACCTTTAACGTTGGCGGTAGAAGTTTTGGAAACAAATAAAATAGGTTAGAAAACAAAGTACCTTAGAAATTTCAATATTCTCTAACATCAATTTTCTGATTACTCTGAAAATCACTTTATGAGAACTTCTGTTCTTTATCCCAAATTATCAAGCATATCCTTTTAACTTTTTCTTTTCCCTTAAATTTCCAAAAAAATGGCGAAGACCTCAAAGTCCGTTTCCCATAAAGAAACTCCATCTGCCTCACGACCGGCTAAAGAGGAAAATATCTCATCTGCTGCTACTGAGGAAACGACACCCGAGCCCCCCCTGAAGATGTTCGTTCCTGCGGGGTGCCCGACCGGTGCTGATTTCAAGGCCGAGAAAAACCTCCTCGGTACCGGATCGGTGCGAGCCGGTCTCGAGATATATATGCTCGATCACCGATAGTCCCCTCTCCAAGGTCAAGGAGGATTGTGATAACTAGGGATTATGATGCATTTTACACTCCGTCTTACTTGAGTTTTGATTAATATTAATTTAACTTTAGCAATACCCATCTCTAAACAACAACAACAACATACCCAGAATTATCCCACACCGTGGGGTCTGGGAAAGGTAGTGTGCACATAGACCTTACCCCTACCTTGTGAGGATAAAGAAGCTGTTTCCAATAGACCCCATCTCTAAAATCTTATAAAAATAAAATAGTAGAGCAAAATAGAGTCCAACTTAACGTGAAAAGAAAAATAAATAATGACTTTGCTGGTAAAGTTATTTTCCTAATTAATATTAAATAGCTTTAAAAGGTATATATATAGGCTCTTGAGGCATTACATGGTGTCTTACTAGTATGTCTAAAGCTTTCATGGACTTCCCTATGATCGAAAATACTTTATATTTTGGCTAAATTAATTTGGCAAAAATAATTATGACTTTGAAAAATCAAGAAGGCATTAAGTAATATTTTGCCAAACTATCCTTGAACCAATAAATGATCTACAAAATATGAGTATATACAAAGAGTAATTTAAGAAGATATAAAAGATAACTTAGTTAAATAACACTTATATTAATGCTATTAAATGATTCTCGTAATGGGCGTGTCAGAAACTTAGAAGCACTTATTTTGAACGAGAGGTAGCATCGTCTAAAAAAACAATCCATAACTATTCTAATAATTTGATATTTTAAGTAAAATTCATATTACCCGTGCATATAAATTAAGAAGAAAATTTACACATATTAATTAGCACAATCTATGCGTAGTACGCATGGACCATCCCTTACTAGTATTTCAGAAAGTTTAACCTTTTGTCAAAGTTGATGATTGGAACACTAACTATTCCCCAGTTATGTATAATTAGTTTCTTTTTAGGATAACTTGAAGTCAATATATCATTTAAATTTGGGATTTTTTCTTTCTATAGAGTATTTAAAATTTATTTATCAAAATTATTCAAATTTTGTATATTATCGCCCTAAACAAGTTTTTCTTACAATCTATATACAATTCATTATTAGTGCCTTAAATTGAGGGATTTAGTTACACCTTTTTCCTTTTTTTCTCTCCTTTCCTCTTTACCTATCCTCTAACCAACCAGTGATTGACCGTAACTTTGGTACTAATTTTCATACCAAAATTCAACCAAATTGTTGTTCCAATCAAACCCCACATTCTGATATCTAAACAACAATTAATCTA